AGTGGCAAAGGCCATTTCACTACCAGCCCTAGTCGATTGTAGGGCGTCAAACAACCTCAACCGACCGCAATTGCTACTCAACAGAAAGCTCGAACATTTTTAGCGCGAGATCCCTCCGAATTCAGAATGATGAGCCTGGCGATAGGTGCATCTGGAACAGTGATAGAAACATGTAGTAGGTATAACCTGTACACTGGAGAGAGTCTAATACAATGATGGCTTCATCATATTGGACTTTGATGACAAATTTGATGTTTTCTTGGACTACCATGGCTAAGAAGGTAGGTGTCAGAACTCAGCTGGGATCGAAAAACAGTCGACATATCTGTAACTTGTTCGACAGATGACCACCTGATGAACGTCATGGAGCACTCAATGACATTTTCGTGTTCTACAAGCGATTGCAATGGCATCGCGTGTGATTCGGTCGTTAGTTCGACCACACATGGCCATGGCGTGGCTTTATCTTACACCAAGGAGCTAAATTTCGACGACCGTACTGAGATTCACGTCGCGTCAAAGGCCCACCATCCGAATAGCTTATAGTGACTGAAGCATGGTTGTCCTCGTAAAGTTCAACACCTAAATGACTATGAACCGATTGACAATGATTGGCAATACGGTATCCGTTGTGCGATTATAAAATCGCTGTTAAAGAATCGGCCGCGGTAGCTCAAACACCGCAGGATGATAGATAGGGATCAATTTCACTCATTTCGTGTGATAATCGATTTAGAAAGGCCAGCGACGGAATAAGATCCCACTCAACTGTGGACATAAGTTGCCAGGTGATAACAGAGAAACCAAGTGTCCGTGTCAATAACGGATGAAGTATAGGCACTTAACAATATGATCTGATTGCGACTTTAAAACACCTTTAAGATCATAACATAGCCCGCGCTCGAACAGACACGGCTCTCCGAAGGTGAACACCGTCGACACGGTGTAGCTTGATGCAACTGCTGAACCCGCAGTCGCTGCCACTCTTACGGGCCTGAATTGTAATAGGTCATTCTCCTAGAGCAAGGCATGCTAAACAGAACGAGACAGAAACGGCGGGGAAGTCGAGGTAAGAGTAAGGGAGGCATGTGAACCCACTGTGGAGGTGCTCCACCAAGCAGGTGTCACGATGCGCTACGCGTCGGTGTCTTGCAAGAACCGCAAGGTCACAAGCATTGTACGCACACAACGTGCACCAAAACGGAGGGGGGGGGTTGAAGGCGTACACTGAGAGCACAGGGCCCTATGGCCTTGTAAGGGGCCTAGGTTGATCTTAAAGAGAGCCCTTTATACATTCGTCCTAGCTGCGCTTGCCATTGTCTTCTTCTCTTTCCAGGCAGATTGTAACAGACAACTGGTTGTCGCTAGGCAAAGGAGATGCACTCGGCTCAGACAGGCAGTATGGATATCTGACAGTTTGGCCGGTTGTCACACTTAAGTGGGCCAGAAACAGTAGCATGAACATTATTTGCGGTGTACATTTCCTCGTGAGAGGCGGTGGGCGTGCCCAAATTGTGGGCCGTGGCAACTGCCGTGTAACCAGCTCGTGCAGAAAGCTTTGTATCTACTTGGTCGAGACGGCCGTTATAACTTTGGCGGGCGCTTGCAGCGTAGTGGTCTATCGAGAAAGTGTGTTCGTCTTCCCCGTCGTTAATGCTATCGTTATTGAGGTCGCTGTGGTCATGAAAGGCACCCAGGGCGCATTCGTGGCGTAAACGTGCGCTAACAATCTTTGATCCGGTCGGGCAGAATGCTTGATGCCCTGCCGGGTTAAAAAGCCACGTTCTAAGGGTTTGCAGCAACGGCGGGGGCTTGAAGGGCTTGTAGGAGGGCGAGGGGGTCGTTTTAGCTGCCTCTGGACCCGGAGGCTGTGCGTGGGACCTGGAAAGTCGATGTTCTGTAGCTGACTTTGCTGGACCCTGTCGGGCAGCCGGCTTGCCACCCTGCCAAGACCAGCACTATCGTTTTCACTATCTAAACCCTCTTCCATGAGGACTCATCTAGCCTGAATACACTTGTGAGGCTTGACGTCACAATTAGCCAATGTAGATCTGCAAGTCGTCGCATGCGAGTTGCGTGATATTTGATAAATGAGAAATCGACACAACCGAATATTGAGCTGATGCAGGCCAAAACATTATTGGAACGACTTTTGAAGAGACTCTAGCATTTAGATTTAAAGCTCATAAACCGTCTCGAGAGAATATACTGGGGTTCGAGGATAAGAACAGATTGGATGAAAAAAAAAAGAAGCCACACATATTTAAATATGAAAATGGGGGAAATAGAGAGGTAGGAGGCATACTTCATTAGGGCAGGGCGTTGTGCATAATGACGACTGAGCATGCGCATTTAAAAGAATTTAGGTGTTTACAGAAGATCTTACAACGATAACTTGACGTGTCGCGAGCTGATGTAACCCAGCTGCATTAGCGAGGTTAACAGCAGACTGAACTTCTGAGACGGCAACAGTATCAGTCTACTACTGCAGCTTCGAGGCGTGAGCACCGACGCCAGACTCGAAAATTAGATGTCTACAAGTACTGAATAGTCGAGGAAGACTCCCTGCTGAGATGGTGTCTCAAATTCGACGAGACAATATGCAAGACTTTTTGTTATTTTTCGTAAAATTTCATTAAAAATACGCAAGTAAGTTAAGGTGAACTTATGTTTATCCTGTATATAAAACTACGACACCGACACTCCGTACAAGTCATCGTGGCGAGTACATGGCTGTCCTGAAGGGTTCAAAATGCCGCACAAATTCATTCTTTCTACACATTGTAATCTGAGCACATGACCCATACCATTGAAAATTATGCAATCTAAGAAAAAAATGATCGTGGTACGTGAAGCAGACAGTGGAAAGACAGTGCTACGTTTATTTACTTTGTTTTGAATTTCTTGCTGTGGTAAACCTCGTCATAGACCGAGTGGTATACACGACTTCAACTAACAAAGACCATCACTCTTTTCGACACTTGACAAGCAAAAGGTCCCGAAAGCGATTGCACTGCACACTCAAATTGTAGATCTTTGCTCGGCCGCGTATATTCCAATCCATAGTACAAACTCGAGTTGTGTCAAATTTCTCCAACTTTCCTTTTCTCCTCACCTGATTATGTTCAAATGCAAGCGCCAAGAAACAGCACTAACCCCAAGCGGGTAAAGACGATCTACTGACCAAGCATATAACGTGCCATCAACAGCCAAATGCCTTATCTCGACAACTACATGCAACAAGGTATACTACGATGCACCATAAGGTGGAGTAGATGGCCGTGAATGCGAGGCCGACGGTCATACCCACAAGCGTTTCACTTAAAAGGAAAGATGAAGCACCATATCTCTATCCTTTACGATTCCTTCTATACCCAATGGAGCACCTACATGTACAACAGTCAAGCAGTCATGTCACCAAAAGAAAGGATGAATTTTTTAAAATAAGAGACAACTTGTAGCAAGCTGGAGATTCAGCAGCACATTTTTATTTTTTACAGACGGATAGAAAATGCATGTCATCAAGCTGCCACTACATCTTTTTTCCGTGGTTCCCGATACTGAATCAATTACCTGCCGTTCTTGAAATAGTGACGTGTTTTTTAGCGAACGACGGTGAAACTTGTTTGTGTCACTGTGCACGCAGCAGAATCTTGACATGTTTCAGTTTTGTACTATCGTGTTTTGGTTTTAATTAGCGCTATTGTGTTGAAGAATTAAGCCGTGCGTGTGGATAGAGTCACTGGAGAAGCTTAAGTGATTGAATTACGTAAGCCCGAATGTTGACGGGTGCATCAAGATGCAAAGTCGGATGGAATGTGATAAATGCTTGAGCTCACCGGCACGGAATAAAATACAAGTCTGGCAAATTCGATGATCTCGTCGCTCGTTAGTATTTCTATGGAGCGCAAACAAATTCAATGTCGATGGATAAGCCTCAAGGTATAACCTTAGCCACATCCGGCGATTTTTTTTATCAAGTGTTCGCTTTCGATCATCTCTTTGTTGCAGAATTTGTGTTAAAAACTACACTCAATAGAACGACCGCTTAAAGTGTAACGGGGCACCCTGAAGCTTGTACTGGTGACAGTACAAGCTACTTATTCTGATAACAGAATAAGGCGGTGCCTCGTAACTTCACGTACACTCGTACGTGCAGAGGAAGACGGTAAGAAGAAGCGAGTACTTGGTTAGAGTAAAAAGTAGAACTGTATTTATAATAGTTAATGTCTGCAATAAATCACTATTTATCTTCATCTAACTATGTCTAAATACAAATGTGTAAATCAGTTATCTGCTCACCACTCATTGCGTGCGTCTGTCGTGGCGCGTCTTCGTTGGTTGATATAATGGCCTATATCAACCAATTAGGAACTACTCGTAAGTGCTACAGAATATTGTCCTTATGACAATATTCTGAGAATATAACTCTTATAGTTATATTCTATTAACAATTTCTTATAAATTGTTATGTAACGATTCACCCCGTTACATCACCCCCTTAACCATCAGTCACTTTAGTGACTGATTGACTAAATGGATACTCGTCCCAAATCATTTGGGACGGGGTTTGCACTTGTTGGTCCGCGTCCACTTTCCAACATCTCATCGCATGGTAAACAAGCCCATGCGATGCGCGAGCAAGGCCGCCGAGAGCGCGTCTGCACGTCTCTGTGCGGACGCCGAAGCAGAAACTACAGCAACTGATATCCCATCGGTTGCTGAATCGACTCAGCCTGTATCACCTGGTGATGCAGGCGCTGGTCATGAAGACACTCGTGTCTTCACAGAGTACGAGCTCGGTGTCTCGTACTCTCCTGATACGGATGACGGATCCGTATCGACGGCAATTGAATCCAAGCCGCCTGCCAAGCGTGGCATGGACGATGCTTTTGCGTCGCAGCATCTTTGGTTCATCTGATGAGTCAGATGAACCATCGCCAAAGCGAAGGCGCTCGAGGTCGCGAGACTCGGGCGCTAATAGTGGTGTCGGTTCTCCAATGGACACCACTTCGCAGCGAGGTGCCAGTACTTCTGTCGGCACGTCGCAGGAAGAGCGGGACCGCAATGTGTTGCGTCTCGCTCCAGAAAAGAAGGCATGGATGCCTCCTAAATCTGTCATGGATCACTTGTCGGCGACGACGAGTGATCGTTATCGAACACGATTGTTCGATTCGTCAAGGATTCATCACCTTGACCCCAGCGCGAAAGACTATCGCGCTGAACATGAGTTCTTCATCGATGCTTTCTTCAGACATCGATGGTACAGTGGGAATCACAAACGTGATGGTCCCTCACTACTTCAGGCGTGGAACGCCTACATCCATAATCTCGAGGATGTAGGTCGTGACGCTTGGAACGACAAACTTATCAAAGCTCGTGATAAGTTTGAAAAGCGAACCCCGACAGGTGCACGCTACAAGCTGCATCGTCTGTCAAGGGAGAAAGGATTACCCTGCCTCTCTTGGGGAGACTCGTGCCCATGTTGTGTGAACAACTCTGCACGAGCACCTAAGGAGGCTTACCTCCTTACCAGCCCGTGGTGGCGCGTACGTGTCTCTACTGAGATGTACGAAGGGATTGACAACCTGAAATCCCTTTACGACCGTGCCGGGAAGACTTTCTCCGGCGGTCCTTCTGCGGCACAGGATGTGTCGCGTCGTACTGCTCGACCAGACCCAGTACGTCAACCACCAATTGGGAGCGGGGCTCCCAAGAATCCCAGGACGGGGGATAGCCGCGCCACCGGACGAGTTACCTCGTCCGACGTCCGTTCACGTCGCGGTGGTTCAACAGCTGCTCAACCAGATAGCGCTGGACACCGCGAGAGTCCTCTAATGGAGGTGGAGGAGGAGGGAAGACGCTATCCACACGATCATGTGGATCGGTGTGTTCCCGAGAGCTTCTTTGATCGCGTAACGCAAGGGTTACGCGACGATCTCGAGCATGAGCGGAATAGGCGTCTCCAACTGGCGGAAGCTGTCTCGAAGCATCGAGCTGAGTTTGCATTTGCTCAGCTTGAGAACGAGAGATCTCTGACATCTCTTCGTGACGAGCTAAGGGTAGCTCGTGGGATTGTTGATCGGTCTCGGGCTGAGATAACTGCTCTTCAGACCCTTGTTGATGCCCACCATCGGGAGCACAAGGCTCTCTGCGAGATGCTTGAGCGCAAGGGCGTTCTTCATCGGAAGAAGCAGCGTACTGATGGTACGGCTTAAGCCGACCAACGTAAAACGTGGGATGCGTTCGCATCTTACGTGGTAACTCGATCGTGTATGCATTGCCTAGGCGGTGCAATACACGAAATGGGCCAATGTACTTGGGTAGTAGTTTACTGCTACCCAAGTTAGTCACTACATGCTTTGGTAGATTAACCGTAGACAGTAGGACTAAGTCACCTTTATTAAATAAAAGAGTGTTTGCCCTTCCATTCTTGTCAGCGTTTTGCTTTTGCTTATCCACCGCTTCGGCGATGGAGTCTTGCACAAAACGGACTACCGTTTCACGAGCCAGTATGAACTCATCTGATGACTCGTTAGCTTCAGTGTGCTGTGAGCGCACTGCAGCGACAACAACCTTTTCTTCAGTGAGGGCTTCCGCACTCTCACTGGGATCATTGTCTTCAGTGAGGGCTTCCGCACTCTCACTGGCATCATCTTCTTCGATATCGATGTTATCGATATCGGCATCAAACGCAATGACTTCTTCGTCAGAGCGTGATGAGCGTGAACCAAATCGGTTTTTGCTCGCGCGAGTCCCTCCCTTAAACCAGACTTACACTCTAGTAAGGTGGGTACACGCGGATGGCGCAAGCCATTCACGTAAAACGGTGTATGTGTCGTGGACGCATGCACCGAGTTGTTGATGGCAAACTCTACCATCGGCAAAAACTCACTCCAACTCTTAAAGGAGTGTACGTATCCTCGAAGTATCTCTTCAAGGACACGATTGGCACGTTCCGTCTGACCATCTGACTCTGGATGATCAGATGTTGACATCTTCAAGCGCGTTGCGAGTGATCTGAACACGGAACGCCAGAAATCAGCAGTGAATCGTGGATCTCTGTCTGATACGAGTTCACGGGGCAACCCATGAAGTCGGAAGATGGTGTCAATAAAGACACAAGCACAGCCACTTGCCGTGATTGTCTCTGGTACAGCCACAAGGTGTACCATTTTGCTGAATCATTATTAATTTCTTCAGCTATTGTTGAATCTGGGTCAACAAATACGAGAATACCCGTATTCCCGCGTGCGTCTTTGGGTAACCCGAAGACGAAATCCATTGAGATGGATTCCCAGCACTCAGCCGGAACCGGTAGAGGCTGTAAAGGTGCACGCAGTGAAGGACTTGACTTCACTCGTTGGCAGACTTCGCATGCGCGAACATACTTTCGCACAAACTGATACTGGCGGGGCCAGTAAAAGTCTCGACTCACCGTGAGATATGTTTTCTCTCGGCCACGATGTCCTCCTATAGGAGCATCGTGATACTCGAACATGATCCGCAAACGCAGATCAATATCATCTGGAATGACAACACGTGGTGTGTCACCAGAAACGGCTGTATAGTACAGTAAACCGTTACGAGTAGTGTATCGATCTGATGCAGATCGATACGCAGACGACAATCGTTTCAACGATTCTCGAGATGGTTGGGAGAGATGTGACAACAACTTCACTATCTCACCATCTTGGGCGTATGCCCGCCTCACATCATCATACAACGTTGTAGATAGAACTGAGGACGTCATAACCGCAACAGTGACTGTCTCACTGTTGGGTTTCGCGACTGTTTCAAAGTCGGGACGACGTGAGAGTGCATCAGCGACGACATTAAGTCGTCCTGGTTTGTACTCGACCGTAAAGTTGTATTCTGCAAAGAATGACAACCACCGCGCCATTCGTTGTGAAAGGTGCGGGCTGTTCACTGCCGTGCGTAAGGACGCATGGTCAGTGTAAACAACGAAGGGTCTATCTCCTAATAGATAGACTCTGAACTTCGCGAGTGCATACTTCATGGCAAGGAGTTCCTTGTCATGCACTGGATAGTTCCGCTCAGCTGGTTGCAGCTGACGCGACTGATAGCAGACGACGCGTTCAACGCCTTCAAGGTCGTACTGCATTAATGCACAGCCGATTGCGAAATCGCTGGCATCACAGACCACATGAAATGGCCTGTCCTGATCGGCTATTGCTAGGACTGGGGATTGTATCAAGCTCTGCTTGATACCCTCAAAGGAGCGTTGACATTCAGCGTTCCATAACCACCTCTCGTTCTTTTTCAACAAACGAGAGAGGTGTACAGTCATCTCGGCGTAATTGCGTGAATACTTATGCAAATACGCCGCTAGCCCAAGGAATTTTCGAAGACCTTTGACATCGACCGGCACGGGCCAGTCGGTGATCGCCTTAATCTTTTCGGGATCAGGACGTACACCGTTCTTACCAACGATGCACCCAAGAAGTGGTATTTCGCTTGCTGCAAATATACACTTCTTGAGGTTTGCATACAATTGATGCTTTCGCATGATTGTAAGAACTTGTCGGACGTGGTACTTGTGAACCTCAACGTCCGACTTTCCATCCATAGCTCGACTATGGATGAATACGTCATCGAAATAACTCGGCGCGAATTCTCGTACTGGCCTCAACAGATGTGATACACACCTGTTGAACGTGGCAGGGGCATTACTGAGCCCTTGTGGCATTACTAGCCATTCCCAGAGCATGCCGCTAGGCGTGCTAACTGCGGTATAGGGTATATCCCGTTCCCGCATTAGGATTTGATAGAAGCCATCCATCAAATCCATGGACGAAAAGATGGTACTCTTTGACATACCATCAATGATTACGTCCTTCCTCGGTATCGGCGTCTGAGCCGGTACCGTTGCAGCGTTCAATTTGTTAAACGCGTGCACTATCCGCCACCCTCCTGTTGCTTTTCGCACACAGAAGGTCGGAGAGCTATGTGGGGAAGTTGATTCCCTCACATGGCCCGCTGCTAAACGATCGGCAAAGAACTTGTCGATCGCAAGTACTTGTTCACGAGGCAGTGGCCACTGCTTCATGACACAGTACTTCGAGCCTGGTTTAAGCTCGACTTCGTGTCGAATACCTTTACCCTTCGGTAATTCGCACGGAACAGTTTCAGGGAATACATCCTTGAATTCAACCAAATCTTCATAGAGAGGATTTTCCTTGAGCGATTCCCATGATTGGGACTCATATCGCTCAATTCGTGTCTTTTCATCTAGGACACTCTCGTCCATAGATGAACTACTGAGAACTCTCTCGTTCTCAGTAAACACTGTTGCTGACCTTATGTCGGTTACATACTCGTCTTCAGCGACGAGTATGCAGATCTGCTTGACTTTGCCACTACGCAGATCACGCAAGAATCTTTTATGTTCGAGCGTTGGCAACTGAGTGATCTCCGAAGTTAACTTCGGAGGCGCAATCAGATCAAGTGTATAAGCGCCTACACATGATCCGTTATTGACTATGACATTCAATGTCTCTGTCATTTCCTGGGGACTTATTCCCTCAGGCTTCGAAGGACTTATTCCTTCGTCTTCCCGGGGACTTATTCCCGCGGGTTTCGGGGAACTTATTTCCGCCGTATTTGTAATCTTGGGACTTATTCCCTTTACTTCCTCTAGCTGGGGTTGCGCAACCACAGCGAGATCCTCCACGAAAGACTCTCCAGTCGATCTAGGATTATCGTTTCGCTTAACCTGAGCGATCGATTGTTTCTCTTCTAGATGTTCCCCTCTAGGGATACATCTTTGTCCCAGTCCACCCGACTTATTCGAGTGGTGGACCTTCGGCGCAGCCTGTGTTTCCTCACAGCCGCCGGAACTTTGCTCCGAAGTGTAACCGTTTGGTACACTAAGGTTTTGTGCAGTCGTACTAACGACCGTACCACAAGTGAGGCCATCGCACTCACTCGTAGTACATCCACACGCTTGTGGACTCTCCAAAACGTTCATCAGATGGCCATCTGATGAACAAGCGGCAGGCATCGTTACTGTCCGATGTTGCCAGTTTACTCGTGGTTCGTACCTTCTGAGCCACTGTATTCCAAGGATGACATCAAATTTGTCATCCAAATCCAATACGATTAAGTCATCGTCATATTGGGTACATTTTGGCGTATAGTGGATCTTCACTATACGCTTCATGATGGTTACGGATGCGCCTGTCGCAAGACGTACCGTCATCCTCGTAGGAGGTGTGTCACATTCACTGAACTTAAAGTGACCATCTTCTAGCGATTGGCGTCGCACAAAATTGTTGGACGCCCCACAATCGACTAGAGCTCGAAGGGACAACTCATTTGTCACTTCGAGTTTCAAGGTAATGAGTGAGATCTCATTACCTAGAGCAGCAACGCACAACGTTTGTGTGTTGGAAGCAAACTTCATCAAGAGGCCTACAAATTCTCTTGACGTTACTGGACCAGTTAGGTGCTCCGCACCTACTGATCCTGTCCGTTTTTTGACGGTCCATCCCGTTGTTGCGTCTTTGCACCAACAGCGTACCCGCGTCCCTGCCCCTTTCTCATGGGTGGACGGTCACTACGCCCAGTGTTGCGAGACACTGGACGAGGGGCACTACACTCGTAAGCGTAGTGTCCTGTCTTTTGACATCTGTTGCATTTCTGCAACTTCTTGTAGCCTGTAGAGCGAGCCTTCTCGCTCTCTACATAACAGAGTTCCATCGGCTCTGGACCTCCGTTGTCATATCGTCTCGGTTGACGATATGATGTCGAGCTGGCGCGAGCCTGTCTCAGACTGAAGTCTTCCTGCTCCGCAATTGAAATGGCTTGTTCTAGTGAATCTAGTTCAAGCCGGAACAGGTGAGTCTTGACGGGACCATCCGCAAGACCCTGCATGAACACCGAAACCAACGTGTGTTCATCCACCGGATTGGAACTTATACAACTCGTGAGATGTCGTATATGTTGAGCGTAAGCGTGCACATCACGCTTACCCTGCTTGAGCTTCAAGAGTTCGGTTCGAGCTCTGAACTCAGCTCTAGGCGGTTCAAACGTTTGTCTGAGCCGCGACTTGAAGACTTCCAACGACCCAAACGCATATGGGTCGTGCAGCTTGAGCCCCAGTGCCCAAGTCTTGGCACGTCCTGCCAGATTTGACTGGGCAAATGCAACTTGCATATCCCCGTCGTCGATGCGACGCGCCCTTATGGCGTCATCCAATTCGACGAACCATCTCAAGAGGGAGTCTTCTTCGACCCCCCTATACTTTGAGATGTCAATCTTCAAAGTCTCGGGCCGACGCGAGTGCATCGACCCGCCAGCAGCAGCCTGCTGCTGTCTCAACAGTTCAAACTGTTGAACACCTTGTTCTCTCAACAACTCTGCTTGTTGAGAACCTTGTTGGTGAAGCAAGGCTACTTTCTCGCGTTCTGCGTCAAGTTCATTTTGAATGAACTTGGCGATAGTAGCATGTTGGGCATCTCTATTGAGAGCCTCTAGCATGACACTAACAGCATGGATGCACATGGTCGAACCCATTCGTTCAACCGCATCCCATTCGACATTGCTCAAATGGGAGTAGCCGTCACGCGTAGCGTGAAAGCTTTGGTCATCTTCATCATCCAACATATTCATGTTGGATGTGAACGCGGTCCTTGGACGGACTACGAAGTGCTACCAGGTGTAACGGGGCACCCTGAAGCTTGTACTGGTGACAGTACAAGCTACTTATTCTGATAACAGAATAAGGCGGTGCCTCGTAACTTCACGTACACTCGTACGTGCAGAGGAAGACGGTAAGAAGAAGCGAGTACTTGGTTAGAGTAAAAGTAGAACTGTATTTATAATAGTTAATGTCTGCAATAAATCACTATTTATCTTCATCTAACTATGTCTAAATACAAATGTGTAAATCAGTTATCTGCTCACCACTCATTGCGTGCGTCTGTCGTGGCGCGTCTTCGTTGGTTGATATAATGGCCTATATCAACCAATTAGGAACTACTTGGAAGTGCTACAGAATATTGTCCTTATGACAATATTCTGAGAATATAACTCTTATAGTTATATTCTATTAACAATTTCTTATAAATTGTTATGTAACGATTCACCCCGTTACATAAAGAGCTAGCAGTACCAGAAGGAAACATAATTTAATCAGGAAATTTGCTAAGAAAGTGCTGATTTTACCAAGTCTGTCTTGATAAATTTCAATAAGTCATGTTGTACTGTGGACCTGCAGATTTTATACTCTGGGTACTCCGATACTCTATAATTACATTGGGATTGTTAATACGACTACTATAAGTAATTGACTGAATTTCTTATATTGCTCTCACTCCGAACCACTAGTTACTCTATTGCGCCTTCTCGACTGTAAAGAGCCCCTAGGCGTACACAATGCAACTTTAGTGATTAAAAAGAACATTACGATGGCGGGTAACATCCGCATTGCTATATAAAACGTACCACACAGAAAACCCAAGATTTAGCCCAAGTCCAATTACTCACCTTGCAGCAGAAAACGCAAACACGCTTAAGCGAAAAGACGAATTGCTCAAGATCGACGTTGATGCAAGCAAAAACGTAAAGCTGCGTATGGCAATAAAGTACTTTACAATGGAAGCTGCACTCGCCGATTTTTAAAAAGGCCATCAGGAATAAGAAAAAGTGGGCGTTAAACTTGTGTGCGAGGCTCCGAAAAGATTCTTGACTTTCATTACGCACACAACTATCACCATGTAAGATTAATTTATAATTAGCCTCATTATAATAGCGAAATGAAATTCGTTCGTACCGCCAAATTGGATAGAGTGGAAGCATGGACGCGGATGACATTGCCGAAAATCTGCCACGGGTATCAGTAGACCTTGATCACTTTGATTATAGCACATTTAAAATATGGATATTATCGGCTTCTTGTTCCGAACGTAGGTGATTGTTGCAGCTAATGGTTGTTTCGTTTCTCTCGCCATCTCATTATATTACTTTTAATGATTACCATGTGGACGACTCCGAGACTCCTCCCATTTTTATCTGAGCTACCCCATTACATCGTATTGAGTCACCTCAACTCATCAGTTGATTCGGCCTTCCGATCAAATGTTAGATGTACATGTGTGTACAAATACATATTTTAATCAGTACATATGGTGTTTTGTAGTGGAAGGGGTGAATCTTTAAAAAGGGATGGTTTAATAAATCATCGGTACCAGAAGAAGAGTCCAACCTGACCTTTTCTAGTTGCGGAGGGATGCTTGCCTTGGGTTGTTTATCCGCACAATACCTTTTCACAACAGAAAAGATCGCTAGATAGCATACGTATGTGTTACTTACAATCAGGTAGTATATATGCCGTCCTTGTAGTGAAAGGGCAAATGCGTTTCGTCAGCATGACATTTCATCGAGGTTGCTTGTCTGTATGGTGTCACATTTTCACTTGCAACCAACATTTGTATGAACAGCTTTGACGGCTAGGGAATAAGGCAATTATTTGTCAAGCAGCTTAGTAATATGAGAAAGGCCATGTGGCAACAGCTTACAGATCATATAATCCGTTTTACGTGTCCTATCTATGGTTATTCATTTCTAATAGACAGCAAACACAGATGTTTTGGGTACTATAGTGTCATTGGTAAAAAGCTTGGCTTGGGTGAATCTCAATTTTAAAAAGGTGATCATGTTGCATAACCTCATGTGCAATCCTGATGTCCTTTTAATCGGAAGAATAGGAGCGTGCAAGTATAAGTGGCCTTCATACCATCTTTACCGGCTACCGACTTGCATAAAAGCTGTAAAAGTACAAGACACAGCAAAGGCAGAAACCTACTTACAGTGTGCTTATGAAAGAGCTTTCGTTTAATCGCTCACTGCATAATTGAACACGTTACATGTAGCTTCGAAACAACTGATCAACAGAACCAGTTGTGTACAAAATTTCCTTTTCACGTTCTGACTATGATTGTAGTGTATCATAGCCAAAGTCAAATGTCTTGTCATTAATCTAACTAAACTGAATAAAGACAGATGATATGGAAGCAGCATTATAAACTTCGTTAGGACCTCGCGTCAGCTGTGTACCGGAGGCTGGATTCTTGCCATGCATAGAATCGTGTCATGATACGATAGGGCCAACCTTTTGTGAAAGGTCATCAGCGTGCCCTGTTGCACGTCTTGACTCACTTAAGTTTTTGCTCTGCGCTAGACCGTTACCAGCAAGTCCTGTGATAGATTAACACCTTCGCGATTGTGAACCCGCACAATAACAACGTCATTCTTCTTTTCCACGTCAAAGATGACCTCCCCACTGTCGATGTTACAGTCTCAGCTTGTGCTTCACGATGAAAGCAAATAAGTCGACATGGAACAGCCGGACTCGGCTGAGCATTGCCGAAATTTGCATAAATCTCGCTCGACGACTTCTTTCTTCAATAGAAACCCGTAATACGCTGCTGTGTCACTCTTGTAGACAGCAATATTGAAGATTGCACCGAAATATTACGACGCGCAGTTTGCGGTACGCAGCCGACTCATGCATCTACATGTTAGTATCGAGGAGTTTCCAAACGCCGTTAATGTAACGGGGCACCCTGAAGCTTGTACTGGTGACAGTACAATCTACTTATTCTGATGACAGAATAAGGCGGTGCCTCGTGACTTCACGTACACTCGTACGTGCAGAGGAAGACGGTAAGAAGAAGCGAGTACTTGGTTAAAGTAAAAAGTAGAACTGTATTTATAATAGTTAATGTCTGCAATAAATCACTATTTATCTTCATCTAACTATGTCTAAATACAAATGTGTAAATCAGTTATCTGCTCACCACTCATTGCGTGCGTCTGTCGTGGCGCGTCTTCGTCGGTTGATACAGTGGCCTATATCAACCAATTAGGAACTACTCGTAAGTGCTACAGAATATTTGTCCTTATGACAATATTCTGAGAAAATAACTCTTATCGTTAAATTCTATTAGCAATTTCTTTTAAAATGTTGTGTAACGATTCGCCCCGTTACATCACCCCCCCTTAACCATCAGTCACTTTAGTGACTGATTGACTAAATGGATACTCGTCCCAAATCATTTGGGACGGGGTTTGTACTTGTTGGTCCGAGTCCACTTTCCAACATCTCATCGCATGGTTAACAAGCCCATGCGATGCGCGAGCAAGGCCGCCGAGAGCGCGTCCGCACGTCTCTGTGCGGACGCCGAAGCAGAAACCACAGCAACTGATGTCTCATCGGTTGCTGAAGCGACCTAGCCTGTGTCGCTTGGTGATGCAGGCGCTGGTCATGAAGACACTCATGTCTTCACAGATTACGAGCTCGGTGACTCGTACTCTCCTGATACGGAAGACGGATCCGTATCGACGGCGATCGAAACCAAGCCGCCTACCAAGCGTGGCATGGATGATGCTATGCGCCGCAGCATCTTTGGTTCATCTGATGAATCAGATGAACCATCGCCAAAGCGAAGGCGCTCGAGGTCGCGAGACTCGGGCGCTCACAGTGGTGTCGGTTCTCCTATTGACACCACTTCGCAGCGAGGTGCCAGTCCTTCTATCGGCACGTCGCAAGAAGAGCGGGACCGCAATGTGTTGCGTCTCGCTCCCGAAAAGAAGGCATGGATGCCTCCCAAATCTGTCATGGATCACTTGTCGGTGACGACGAGTGATCGTTATCGAACACGGTTGTTCGATTCGTCAAGGATCCATCACCTTGACCCCAGTGCGAAAAACTTTCGCGCTGAGAACGGATTCTTCATCGATGCTTTCTTTAGACATCGATGGTACAGTGGGAATCACAAACGTGATGGTCCCTCACTACTTCAGGCGTGGAACGCCTACATCCATAACCTTGAGGATGTAGGTCGTGACGTTTGGAACGACAAACTTATCAAAGCTCGTGATAAGTTTGAAAAGCGAACCCCGACAGGTGCACGCTATAAGCTGCATCGTCTGTCAAAGGAGGGTGGTTTACCCTGTCTTTCCTGGGGAGACCCGTGCCCATGTTGTGTGAACAACTCTGCACGAGCACCTAAGGAGGCTTACCTCCCTAATAGCCCGTGGTGGCGCGTACGTATCTACAGTGAGATGTACGAAGGGATTGACAACCTGAAATCCTTTACGACCGTGCCGGGAAGACTTTCTCCGGCGGTCCTTCTGCGGCACAGGATGTGCCGCGTCGTACTGCTCAACCAGACCCAGTACGTCATCCATCAGTTGGGAGCGAGGCTCCCAAGTATCCCAGGACGGGGGATAGCCACGCCACCGGACGAGATAACTCGTCCGACGTCCGTTCACGTCGCGGTGGTTCAACAGCTGCTCAACCAGATAGCGCTGGACACCGCGAGAGTCCTCTAATGGAGGTGGAGGAGGAGGGAAGACGCTATCCACACGATCATGTGGATCGGTGTGTTCCCGAGAGCTTCTTTGATCGCGTAACGCAAGGGTTACGCGGCGATCTCGAACATGAGCGGGACAGGCGTCTCCAACTGGCGGAAGCTGTCTCGAAGCATCGAGCTGAGTTTGCATTTGCTCAGCTTGAGAACGAGAGATCTCTGACATCTCTGCGTGACGAGCTAAGGGTAGCTCGTGGGATTGTTGATCGGTCTCGGGCTGAGATAACTGCTCTTCAAACCCTTGTCGATGCCCACCATCGGGAGCACAAGGCTCTCTGCGAGATGCTTGAGCGCAAGGGCGTTCTTCATCGGAAGAAGCAGCGTACTGATGGTACGGCTTAAGCCGACCAACGTAAAACGTGGGATACGTGCGCATCTTACGTGGCAACTCGATTGTGTATGCATTGCCTCGGCGGTGCAATACACGAAATGGGCCGATGTACTTGGGTAGTAGTTTACTGCTACCCAAGTTAGTCACTACATGCTTTGGTAGATTAACCGTAGACTGTAGGACTAAGTCACCTTTATTAAATAAAAGAGTGTTTGCCCTTCCATTCTTGTCAGCGTTTTGCTTTTGCTTATCCACCGCTTCGGCGATGGAGTCTTGCACAAAACGGACTACCGTTTCACGAGCCAGTATGAACTCATCTGATGACTCGTTAGCTATAGTGCACTGTGAGTGCACTGCAGCAACATCAATCTTTTCTTCAGTGAGGGCTTCCTCGCTCTCACTGGCATCATCTTCTTCGATATCGATGTTATCGATATCTGACGCAATGACGTCTTCGTCAGAGCGTGATGAGCGTGAACCAAATCGGTTTTTGCTCGCGCGAGTCCCTCCCCCCTTAAACCAGAGTTACACTCTAGTAAGGTGGGTACACGCGGATGGCGCAAGCCATTCACGTAAAACGGTGTATGTGTCGTGGACGCATGCACCGAGTTGTTAATGGCAAACTCTACCATTGGCAAAACTCACTCCAACTCTTAAAGGAGTGTACGTATCCTCGAAGTATCTCTTCGAGGACACGATTGGCTTGTTCCGTTGAACCATCTGACTCTGGATGATCAGATGTCGACATCTTCAAGCGCGTTGCGAGTGATCTGAACACGGAACGGCAGAAATCAGTAGTGAAGCGTGGATCTCTGTCTGATACGAGTTCACGGGGAAACCCATGAAGTCGGAAGATGGTGTCAATAAAGACACAAGCACAGCCACTTGCCGTGATTGTCTCTGGTACAGCCACAAGGTGTACCATTTTGCTGAATCTGTCAACAAATACGAGAATACCCGTATTCCCGCGTGCGTCTTTGGGTAACCCGAAGACAAAATCCATTGAGACGGATTTCCAGCACTCAGCCGGAACCGGTAGAGGCTGTAAAGGTGCACGTAGTGAAGGACTTGACTTCACTCGTTGGCAGACTTCGCATGCGCGAACATACTTTCGCACAAACTGATACTGGCGGGGCTAGTAAAAGTCTCGACTCACCGTGAGATATGTTTTCTCCCGGCCACGATGTCCTCCTATAGGAGCATCGTGATACTCGAACATGATCCGCAAGAGAATATCAGTACCATCTGGGATGACAACACGTGGTGAGTCACCAGTAACGGCTGTATAATACATTAAGCCGTTGCGAGTAGTGTATCGATCTGATGCAGATCGATACGCAGACTACAATCGTTTCAACGATTCTCGAGATGGTTGTGAGAGATGTGTCAACAACTGCACAATCTCACCATATTGGGCATATGCCCGCCTCACATCATCATGCAACGTTGTAGATGGGACTGAGGACGTCATAACCGCAACAGTGACTGTCTCACTGTTGGGTTTCGCGACTGTTTCAAAGTCGGGACGACGTGAGAGTGCATCAGCGACGACATGAAGTCGTCCTGGTTTGTACTCAACCGTAAAGTTGTATTCTGCAAAGAATGACAACCACCGCGCCATTCGTTGTGAAAGGTGCGGGCTGTTCACTGCCGTGCGTAAGGACGCATGGTCAGTGTAAACAACGAAGGGTCTATCTCCTAATAGATAGACTCTGAACTTCGCGAGTGCATACTTCATGGCAAGGAGTTCCTTGTCATGCACTGGATAGTTCCGCTCAGCTGGTTGCAGCTGACGCGACTGATAGCAGACGACGCGTTCAACGCCTTCAAGATCGTACTGCATTAATGCACAGCCGATTGCGAAATCGCTGGCATCACAGACCACATGAAATGGCCTGTCCTGATCGGCTATTGCTAGGACTGGGGATTGTATCAAGCTCTGCTTGATACCCTCAAAGGAGCGTTGACATTCAGCGTTCCATAACCACCTCTCGTTCTTTTTCAACAAACGAGAGAGGTGTACAGTCATCTCGGCGTAATTGCGTGAATACTTATGCAAATACGCCGCTAGCCCAAGGAATTTTCGAAGACCTTTGACATCGACCGGCACGGGCCAGTCGGTGATCGCCTTAATCTTTTCGGGATCAGGACGTACACCGTTCTTACCAACGATGCACCCAAGAAGTGGTATTTCGCTTGCTGCAAATATACACTTCTTGAGGTTTGCATACAATTGATGCTTTCGCATGATTGTAAGAACTTGTCGGACGTGGTACTTGTGAACCTCAACGTCCGACTTTCCATCCATAGCTCGACTATGGATGAATACGTCATCGAAATAACTCGGCGCGAATTCTCGTACTGGCCTCAACAGATGTGATACACATCTGTTGAACGTGGCAGGGGCATTACTGAGCCCTTGTGGCATCACTAGCCATTCCCATAGCATGCCGCTAGGCGTGTTAACTGCGGTATAGGGTATGTCCCGTTCTCGCATAAGGATTTGATAGAAGCCATCCATCAAATCCATGGACGAAAAGATGGTGCTCTTTGACATACCATCAATGATTACGTCCTTCCTCGGTATCGGCGTCTGATCCGGTACCGTTGCAGCATTCAACTTGTTAAATGCATGCACTATCCGCCACCCTCCTGTTGCTTTTCTCACACAAAAGGTCGGAGAGCTATGTGGAGAAGTTGATTCCCTCGCATGGCCCGCAGCTAAACGATCGGCAAAGAACTTGTCGATCGCAAGTACTTGTTCACGAGGCAGTGGCCAATGCTTCATGACACAGTACTTCGAGCCTGGTTTAAGCTCGACCTCGTGTCAAATACCTTTATCCTTCGGTAATTCGCACGGAACCGTTTTAGGGAATACATCCTTGAATTCAACCAAATCTTCATAGAGAGGATTTTTCTTGAGCGATTCCCATGATTGGGAGTCATATCGCTCAATTCGTGTCTTTTCATCTAGGACACTCTCGTCCATAGATGAACTACTGAGAACTCTCTCGTTCTCAGTGAACACTGTTGCTGACCTTATGTCGGCGACGTCCTCGTCGTCAGTGACGAGTACGCAGATCTGCTTGACTTTGCCACTACGCAGATCACGCAAGAATCTTTTATGTTCGAGCGTTGACAACTGAGTGATCTCCGAAGTCAACTTCGGAGGCGCAATCAGATCAAGTGTATAAGCGCCTACACTTGATCCGTTATTGACTATGACATTCAATGTCTCTGTCATTTCCTGGTGACTTATTCCCTCAGGCCTCGAAGGACTTATTTCCCGGGGACTTATTCCCGCGGGTTTCGGGGAACTTATTTCCGCCGTATTTGTAATCTTGGGACTAATTCTCTTTACTTCCTCTAGCTGGGGTTGCGCAACCACAGCGAGATCCTCTGCGAAAGACTCCAGTCGATCTAGGATTATCGTTTCGCTTAACCTGAGCGATCGATTGTTTCTCTTCTAGATGTTCCCCGCTAAGGATACATCTTTGTCCCAGTCCAATCGACTTATTCGTTGGGTGGACCTTCGGCGCAGCCTGTGTTTCCTCACAGCCGCAGGAACCTAGCTCCGAAGTGTAACCGTTTGTCACACTAAGGTTTTGTGCAGTCGTACTAACGACCGTACCACAAGTGAGGCCATCGCACTCACTCGTAGTACATCCACACGCTTGTGAACGCTCCAAAACGTTCATCAGATGGCCATCTGATGAACAAGCGGCAGGCATCGTTACTGTTCGATGTTGCCAGTTTACTCGTGGTTCGTACCTTCTGAGCCACTGTATTCCAAGGATGACATCAAATTTGTCATCCAAATCCAATACGATTAAGTCATCGTCATATTGGGTACATTTTGGCGTATAGTGGATCTTCACTATACGCTTCATGATGGTTACGGATGCGCCTGTCGCAAGACGTACCGTCATCCTCGTAGGAGGTGTGTCACATTCACTGAACTTAAAGTGACCATCTTCTAGCGATTGGCGTCGCACAAAATTGTTGGACGCCCCACAATCGACTAGAGCTCGAAGGGACAACTCATTTGTCACTTCGAGTTTCAAGGTAATGAGTGAGATCTCATTACCTAGAGCAGCAACGCACAACGTTTGTGTGTTGGAAGCAAACTTCATCAAGAGGCCTACAAATTCTCTTGACGTTACTGGACCAGTTAGGTGCTCCGCACCTACTGATCCTGTCCGTTTTTTGACGGTCCATCCCGTTGTTGCGTCTTTGCACCAACAGCGTACCCGCGTCCCTGCCCCTTTCTCATGGGTGGACGGTCACTACGCCCAGTGTTGCGAGACACTGGACGAGGGGCACTACACTCGTAAGCGTAGTGTCCTGTCTTTTGACATCTGTTGCATTTCTGCAACTTCTTGTAGCCTGTAGAGCGAGCCTTCTCGCTCTCTACATGACAGAGTTTCATCGGCTCTGGACCTCCGCTGTCATATCGTCTCGGTTGACGATATGATGTCGAGCTGGCGCGAGCCTGTCTCAGACTGAATTCTTCCTGTTCCGCAATTGAAATGGCTTGTTCTAGTGAATCTAGTTCAAGTCGGAACAGGTGAGTCTTGACGGGACCATCCGCAAGACCCTGCACGAACACCGAAACCAACGTGTGTTCATCCACCGGATTGGAACTTATACAACTCGTAAGATGTCGTATATGTTGCGCGTAAGCGTGGACATCACACTTACCTTGCTTGAGCTTCAAGAGTTCGGTTCGAGCTCTGAACTCAGCTCTAGGCGGTTCAGGCGTTTGTCTGAGCCGCGACTTGAAGACTTCCAACGACCCAACCGCATATGGGTCGTGCAGCTTGAGCCCCAGTGCCCAAGTCTTGGCACGTCCTGCCAGATTTGACTGGTCAAATGCAACTTGCATATCCCCGTCGTCGATGCGACGCGCCCTTATGGCGTCATCCAATTCGACGAACCATCTCAAGAGGGAGTCCTCTTCGACTCCCCTATACTTGGAGATGTCAATCTTCAAAGTCTCGGGTCGACGCGAGTGCATCAACCCACCAGCAGCAGCCTGCTGCTGTCTCAACAGTTCAAACTGTTGAACACCTTGTTCTCTCAACAACTCTGCTTGTTGAGAACCTTGTTGGTGAAGCAAGGCTACTTTCTCGCGTTCTGCGTCAAGTTCATTTTGAATGAACTTGGCGATAGTAGCATGTTGGGCATCTCTATTGAGAGCCTCTAGTATGACACTAACAGCATGGATGCACATGGTCGAACCCATCCGTTCAACCGCATCCCATTCGACATTGCTCAAATGGGAGTAGCCGTCACGCGTAGCGTGAATGTAACGGGGCACCCTGAAGCTTGTACTGGTGACAGTACAAGCTACTTATTCTGATAACAGAATAAGGCGGTGCCTCGTAACTTCACGTACACTCGTACGTGCAGAGGAAGACGGTAAGAAGAAGCGAGTACTTGGTTAGAGTAAAAAGTAGAACTGTATTTATAATAGTTAATGTCTGCAATAAATCACTATTTATCTTCATCTAACTATGTCTAAATACAAATGTGTAAATCAGTTATCTGCTCACCACTCATTGCGTGCGTCTGTCGTGGCGCGTCTTCGTTGGTTGATATAATGGCCTATATCAACCAATTAGGAACTACTTGGAAGTGCTACAGAATATTGTCCTTATGACAATATTCTGAGAATATAACTCTTATAGTTATATTCTATTAACAATTTCTTATAAATTGTTATGTAACGATTCACCCCGTTACATCACCCCCCCCTTAACCATCAGTCACTTTAGTGACTGATTGACTAAATGGTTACTCGTCCCAAATCATTTGGGACAGGGTCTGCACTTGTTGGTCCGAGTACACTTCCCAACAGTTCATCGCATGGTTAACAAGCCCATGCGGTGCGCGAGCAAGGCCGCCGAGCGCGCGTCCGCACGTCTCTGTGCGGACGCCGAAGCAGAAAACATAGCAACTGATGTCCCATCGGTTGCTGAATCGACTCAGCCTGTATCACCTGGTGATGCAGGCGCTGGTCATGAAGACACTCGTGTCTTCACAGAGTACGAGCTCGGTGTCTCGTACTCTCCTGATACGGATGACGGATCCGTATCGACGGCAATTGAATCCAAGCCGCCTGCCAAGCGTGGCATGGACGATGCTTTGCGTCGCAGCATCTTTGGTTCATCTGATGAGTCAGATGAACCATCGCCAAAGCGAAGGCGCTCGAGGTCGCGAGACTCGGGCGCTCACAGTGGTGTCGGTTCTCCTATTGACACCACTTCGCAGCGAGGTGCCAGTCCTTCTATCGGCACGTCGCAAGAAGAGCGGGACCGCAATGTGTTGCGTCTCGCTCCAGAAAAGAAGGCATGGATGCCTCCTAAATCTGTCATGGATCACTTGTCGGCGACGACGAGTGATCGTTATCGAACACGATTGTTCGATTCGTCAAGGATTCATCACCTTGACCCCAGCGCGAAAGACTATCGCGCTGAACATGAGTTCTTCATCGATGCTTTCTTCAGACATCGATGGTACAGTGGGAATCACAAACGTGATGGTCCCTCACTACTTCAGGCGTGGAACGCCTACATCCATAATCTCGAGGATGTAGGTCGTGACGCTTGGAACGACAAACTTATCAAAGCTCGTGATAAGTTTGAAAAGCGAACCCCGACAGGTGCACGCTATAAGCTGCATCGTCTGTCAAGGGAGAAAGGATTACCCTGTCTTTCCTGGGGAGACCCGTGCCCATGTTGTGTGAACAACTCTGCACGAGCACCTAAGGAGGCTTACCTCCCTAATAGCCCGTGGTGGCGCGTACGTATCTACAGTGAGATGTACGAAGGGATTGACAACCTGAAATCCTTTACGACCGTGCCGGGAAGACTTTCTCCGGCGGTCCTTCTGCGGCACAGGATGTGCCGCGTCGTACTGCTCAACCAGACCCAGTACGTCATCCATCAGTTGGGAGCGAGGCTCCCAAGTATCCCAGGACGGGGGATAGCCGCGCCACCGGACGAGATAACTCGTCCGACGTCCGTTCACGTCGCGGTGGTTCAACAGCTGCTCTACTAGATAGCGCTGGCCACCGCGAGAGTCCTCTAATGGAGGTGGAGGAGGAGGAAAGACGCTCTCCACACGATCATGTGGATCGGTGTGTTCCCGAGAGCTTCTTTGATCGCGTAACGCAAGGGTTACGCGGCGATCTCGAACATGAGCGGAATAGGCGTCTCCAGATGGTGGACACTGCCTCGAAGCATCGAGCTGAGTTTGCCTTTGCTCAGCTTGAGAACGAGAGATCTCTGACATCTCTTCGTGACGAGCTAAGGGTAGCTCGTGGGATTGTTGATCGGTCTCGGGCTGAGATAACTGCTCTTCAGACCCTTGTTGATGCCCACCATCGGGAGCACAAGGCTCTCTGCGAGATGCTTGAGCGCAAGGGCGTTCTTCATCGGAAGAAGCAGCGTACTGATGGTACGGCTTAAGCCGACCAACGTAAAACGTGGGATACGTTCGCATCTTACGTGGTAACTCGATCGTGTATGCATTGCCTAGGCGGTGCAATACACGAAATGGGCCGATGTACTTGGGTAGTAGTTTACTGCTACCCAAGTTAGTCACTACATGTTTTGGTAGATTAACCGTAGACAGTAGGACTAAGTCACCTTTATTAAATAAAAGAGTGTTTGCCCTTCCATTCTTGTCAGCGTTTTGCTTTTGCTTATCCACCGCTTCGGCGATGGAGTCTTGCACAAAACGGACTACCGTTTCACGAGCCAGTATGAACTCATCTGATGACTCGTTAGCTTCAGTGTGCTGTGAGCGCACTGCAGCGACAACAACCTTTTCTTCAGTGAGGGCTTCCGCACTCTCACTGGGATCATTGTCTTCAGTGAGGGCTTCCGCACTCTCACTGGCATCATCTTCTTCGATATCGATGTTATCGATATCGGCATCAAACGCAATGACTTCTTCGTCAGAGCGTGATGAGCGTGAACCAAATCGGTTTTTGCTCGCGCGAGTCCCTCCCCCCTTAAACCAGAGTTACACTCTAGTAAGGTGGGTACACGCGGATGGCGCAAGCCATTCACGTAAAACGGTGTATGTGTCGTGGACGCATGCACCGAGTTGTTGATGGCAAACTCTACCATCGGCAAAAACTCACTCCAACTCTTAAAGGAGTGTACGTATCCTCGAAGTATCTCTTCAAGGACACGATTGGCACGTTCCGTCTGACCATCTGACTCTGGATGATCAGATGTTGACATCTTCAAGCGCGTTCCGAGTGATTTGAACACGGAACGCCAGAAATCAGCAGTGAATCGTGGATCTCTGTCTGATACGAGTTCACGGGGCAACCCATGAAGTCGGAAGATGGTGTCAATAAAGACACAAGCACAGCCACTTGCCGTGATTGTCTCTGGTACAGCCACAAGGTGTACCATTTTGCTGAGTCTGTCAACAAATACGAGAATACCCGTATTCCCGCGTGCGTCTTTGGGTAACCCGAAGACGAAATCCATTGAGATGGATTCCCAGCACTCAGCCGGAACCGGTAGAGGCTGTAAAGGTGCACGCAGTGAAGGACTTGACTTCACTCGTTGGCAGACTTCGCATGCGCGAACATACTTTCGCACAAACTGATACTGGCGGGGCCAGTAAAAGTCTCGACTCACCGTGAGATATGTTTTCTCTCGGCCACGATGTCCTCCTATAGGAGCATCGTGATACTCGAACATGATCCGCAAACGCAGATCAGTATCATCTGGAATGACAACACGTGGTGTGTCACCAGAAACGGCTGTATAGTACAGTAAACCGTTACGAGTAGTGTATCGATCTGATGCAGATCGATACGCAGACGACAATCGTTTCAACGATTCTCGAGATGGTTGGGAGAGATGTGACAACAACTTCACTATCTCACCATCTTGGGCGTATGCCCGCCTCACATCATCATACAACGTTGTAGATGGAACTGAGGACGTCATAACCGCAACAGTGACTGTCTCACTGTTGGGTTTCGCGACTGTTTCAAAGTCGGGACGACGTGAGAGTGCATCAGCGACGACATTAAGTCGTCCTGGTTTGTACTCGACCGTAAAGTTGTATTCTGCAAAGAATGACAACCACCGCGCCATTCGTTGTGAAAGGTGCGGGCTGTTCACTGCCGTGCGTAAGGACGCATGGTCAGTGTAAACAACGAAGGGTCTATCTCCTAATAGATAGACTCTGAACTTCGCGAGTGCATACTTCATGGCAAGGGAGTTCCTTGTCATGCACTGGATAGTTCCGCTCAGCTGGTTGCAGCTGACGCGACTGATAGCAGACGACGCGTTCAACGCCTTCAAGATCGTACTGCATTAATGCACAGCCGATTGCGAAATCGCTGGCATCACAGACCACATGAAATGGCCTGTCCTGATCGGCTATTGCTAGGACTGGGGATTGTATCAAGCTCTGCTTGATACCCTCAAAGGAGCGTTGACATTCAGCGTTCCATAACCACCTCTCGTTCTTTTTCAACAAACGAGAGAGAGGTGTACAGTCATCTCGGCGTAATTGCGTGAATACTTATGCAAATACGCCGCTAGCTAAGGAATTTTCGAAGACCTTTGACATCGACCGGCACGGGCCAGTCGGTGATCGCCTTGATCTTTTCGGGATCAGGACGTACACCGTTCTTACCAACGATGCACCCAAGAAGTGGTATTTCGCTTGCTGCAAATATACACTTCTTGAGGTTTACATACAATTGATGCTTTCGCATGATTGTAAGAACTTGTCGGACGTGATACTTGTGAACCTCAACGTCCGACTTTCCATCCATAGCTCGACTATGGATGAATACGTCATCGAAATAACTCGGCGCGAATTCTCGTACTGGCCTCAACAGATGTGATACACACCTGTTGAACGTGGCAGGGGCATTACTGAGCCCTTGTGGCATTACTAGCCATTCCCAGAGCATGCCGCTAGGCGTGCTAACTGCGGTATAGGGTATATCCCGTTCCCGCATTAGGATTTGATAGAAGCCATCCATCAAATCCATGGACGAAAAGATGGTACTCTTTGACATACCATCAATGATTACGTCCTTCCTCGGTATCGGCGTCTGAGCCGGTACCGTTGCAGCGTTCAATTTGTTAAACGCGTGCACTATCCGCCACCCTCCTGTTGCTTTTCGCACACAGAAGGTCGGAGAGCTATGTGGGGAAGTTGATTCCCTCACATGGCCCGCTGCTAAACGATCGGCAAAGAACTTGTCGATCGCAAGTACTTGTTCACGAGGCAGTGGCCACTGCTTCATGACACAGTACTTCGAGCCTGGTTTAAGCTCGACTTCGTGTCGAATACCTTTATCCTTCGGTAATTCGCACGGAACCGTTTTAGGGAATACATCCTTGAATTCAACCAAATCTTCATAGAGAGGATTTTCCTTGAGCGATTCCCATGATTGGGACTCATATCGCTCAATTCGTGTCTTTTCATCTAGGACACTCTCGTCCATAGATGAACTACTGAGAACTCTCTCGTTCTCAGTAAACACTGTTGCTGACCTTATGTCGGTTACATACTCGTCTTCAGCGACGAGTATGCAGATCTGCTTGACTTTGCCACTACGCAGATCACGCAAGAATCTTTTATGTTCGAGCGTTGGCAACTGAGTGATCTCCGAAGTTAACTTCGGAGGCGCAATCAGATCAAGTGTATAAGCGCCTACACATGATCCGTTATTGACTATGACATTCAATGTCTCTGTCATTTCCTGGGGACTTATTCCCTCAGGCTTCGAAGGACTTATTCCTTCGTCTTCCCGGGGACTTATTCCCGCGGGTTTCGGGGAACTTATTTCCGCCGTATTTGTAATCTTGGGACTTATTCCCTTTACTTCCTCTAGCTGGGGTTGCGCAACCACAGCGAGATCCTCTACGAAAGACTCTCCAGTCGATCTAGGATTATCGTTTCGCTTAACCTGAGCGATCGATTGTTTCTCTTCTAGATGTTCCCCGTCAGGGATACATCTTTGTCCCAGTCCAATCGACTTATTCGTTGGGTGGACCTTCGGCGCAGCCTGTGTTTCCCTCACAGCCGCCGGAACTTTGCTCCGAAGTGTAACCGTTTGGTACACTAAGGTTTTTTGCAGTCGTACTAACGACCGTACCACAAGTGAGGCCATCGCACTCACTCGTAGTACATCCACACGCTTGTGGACGCTCCAAAACGTTCATCAGGTGGCCATCTGATGAACAAGTGGCAGGCATCGTTACTGTCCGATGTTGCCAGTTTACCCGTGGTTCGTACCTTCTGAGCCACGGTATTCCAAGGATGACATCAAATTTGTCATCCAAATCCAATACGATAAAGTCATCGTCATATTGGGTATCTTCTAGCGTATAGTGGATCTTCAATATACGCTTCATGACGGTTACGGATGCGCCTGTCGCAAGACGTACCGTCATCCTCGTAGGAGGTGTGTCACATTCACTGAATTTAAAGTGACCATCTTCTAGCGATTGGCGTCGCACAAAATTGTTGGACGCCCCACAATCGACTAGAGCTCGAAGGGACAACTTATTCGTCACTTCGAGTTTCAAGGTAATGAGTGAGACCTCATTACCTAGAGCAGCAACGCACAACGTCTGTGTGTTGGGAGCAACCTTCATCAAGAGGCCTACAAATTCTCTTGACGTTGCTGGATCAGTAGGGTGCTCCGCACCTACTGATCCTGTCCGTTTTTTTGACGGTCCATCGCGTTGTTGCGTCTTTGCACCAACTGCGGACCCTCGTCCCTGCCCCTTTCTCATGGGTGGACGGTCACTACGCCCAGTGTCGCGAGACACTGGACGAGGGGCACTACACTCGTAAGCGTAGTGTCCTGTCTTTTGACATCTGTTGCATCTCTGCAACTTCTTGTAGCCTGTAGAGCGAGCCTTCTCGCTCTCTACATAACAGAGTTCCATCGGCTCTGGACCTCCGTTGTCATATCGTCTCGGTTGACGATATGATGTCGAGCTGGCGCGAGCCTGTCTCAGACTGAAGTCTTCCTGCTCCGCAATTGAAATGGCTTGTTCTAGTGAATCTAGTTCAAGCCGGAACAGGTGAGTCTTGACGGGACCATCCGCAAGACCCTGCATGAACACCGAAACCAACGTGTGTTCATCCACCGGATTGGAACTTATACAACTCGTAAGATGTCGTATATGTTGCGCGTAAGCGTGGACATCACACTTACCTTGCTTGAGCTTCAAGAGTTCGGTTCGAGCTCTGAACTCAGCTCTAGGCGGTTCAGGCGTTTGTCTGAGCCGCGACTTGAAGACTTCCAACGACCCAACCGCATATGGGTCGTGCAGCTTGAGCCCCAGTGCCCAAGTCTTGGCACGTCCTGCCAGATTTGACTGGTCAAATGCAACTTGCATATCCCCGTCGTCGATGCGACGCGCCCTTATGGCGTCATCCAATTCGACGAACCATCTCAAGAGGG